TCAATGTAATACCGACCTGTTAGATTGTGCATACGACAATAATTCTGTAAATTAGAGGTAATGCCACAGGAATATTCAAGCAGTCTAATAGCCCATTCATTTGGCGCATATTGGACAAATTATTATTTGGATGGGAAACTTCCTATGAATAGTATTCATCATTTGCTACGACGGTATTATATGGTATCGCTGTATAGATGTTTATTTAATTTAGAAGAGGAAGCCTGTAAGGAATAACAACCCATAAAATTATGAACGCTGATCTTTCGGCTTGAGGAGTATACATGCAAACAAGATCAGTTCACCTTCTTGTACGAATAACTCACACGGGCGTTGAAATTGGATTAGAATGTGACTTCTTTTTCTGTCCTACCTAAGAGCCCGAATGAATAGTGGATTGGGATATATTCAGGGGTTAACCAGAAGATTATGCCTTAAGACTGAAAAGTGCGGCAGTTCAACATTTCACTTTCCCAGGAAGTATCTGCTTCAGAGGGGGAAGAAATTTTATGTGAAGTAGAATATATTTTTACCTCATGAACTCAGCGACGTTCGTGACTGTAATTTATATAGAATTTGACGATGCCGAAGAAATAGAACATTGTAGGCCTATTACTATTACTTGTAAGTCATCATATGGAAATATCCTTCCCGCGATACATGAGAAAGAGTAACAAAGAGAAAATCACAGACATTTCTTTTAATTATATACATTTATATTGGAGCTTCCGATTGACTACATACAATGTCGTACAAATTAATTACAGTTTCGCATTATTTTTTAAAATGCAAAGGGAAACAGTATACACTACATAAAATGGGAACATGGACAAATAATGTGCTGATAAGGAGGAATTTTCCTTATATTAGTGAAAATCGATACAGTGACTGAGTAATATATAATAGGGTGTGCAAAGTGCAGAAAGAATTAATAGCCTCTTAGAGGAATTTTTCCCCGTAACGTCCTGTAGGACTTATGAAATTACATAAACAGGCTTCACACGGAAAGGTTATATATAATAAGAAATTTCAATTTTCTATGTAGTTTAATAAATTATGTACGAAAAAAAAAGTGGGCGCGGAAGCAGCAGGAGCCTTGCAAATATTTTACGAATGCATGAGCTGTTTGTGCTTAATATCTAAGAGGTTAAATGCCTTAAAGGCCGCATCAGATTTAAATATTTCCTGGAAGAAATCGTTAAATTCCTGAGGCTCTGATGTTTTTTTATTAATCTGTAAGACACCTGCAGTGTATGCGAATAAACAGTACTCACAATAATTAATACATGTAATAACCATTGCGGGAAAATTTCCATTTTAAAAAAACACGATAAAACCAGTATGAATAATAACGGGTATATCAAGAAGGGGCGTGAGATCACTCATTAAAACAGAACCGCTTGCAAATGTTTCGCATATTATACAAGACAATACTATCATGAGCCCCATGTGTGGGGAAGAAAATAGGTTATGTCTTTTAATTAAAAATAAAAATTTCCCTGAAGCGCGCGGTACGGTATATGGAATAGGCTGATCTTCAATGGAGAGGATTTTTTCAAGGATTTATTATTACTAATTAGAACTTGAAATCTAATTTGATGGGAAGTTCACGCAGGATTCATGTAACTTCTGCATGTACACGCCCGTGATATTTTTCTATTTGCAAATTCACTTTATTAATGTTACATTTAGAGTTAAAATGAATATTGAAATTTGAGGTATATCCTGATTATCGTTAATAATCTTCATCTTAATT